ACCAGCCTCTCCCCACCACCGGCTTCCTCGGCAGCCCTCAGCCTCCACATCCACATGCACAGCTCTTCAGCCATGCAAATATTTTCCTTTCAGGCCCACAGAAGAGCATAGCGTGGGCTGGGCACATATGATTTATGGTAATTTGAATGAAAGCCTTCATGCCGGGAGAGAGGATCCATTTTCTCCTCCTCCTCCTCTTCCTCTTGATCTAATGCACTTTAGTTATTTGGTAAATCTTCTAATGGTTTTATAATGCACTAAGTGGAGCAAAGTGACACTGTTTTTTCCCAATGATTTTATTGCATCTTACCAGTTTCGTAAGGCCAAGATTCAGAGGGAGCTGGAACAGTTCAATAATTCATATTGCCCAAGCGGTTGGTTCAAGCTGAGCGAGGATTAACTTTAAAGAGGGGGGCATTTTTCTCCTTGTTTCTTGCCCTGCATGGATGCTTTCTGCATCCAGTGGGGCCAAATGCGATGCCAGGAGAGCGATGGAGAGGGGCTGAGTTGCGCATTGCCTCGCTCTTCTTCTCGGCATCGTGGGCAGCTCAACAGCAGCTCCCTCTGCACACTGTTCATCAGCTTCTCATCAAAAATAACATTCTGGGGGTGGTGGGGGGCTGATGATACTTAGGGCAGGACCTGGGCTGGGCTGTCCCCCAGGAGGATGCCCCGGGGCTGGGGACCTGGCTGACCCTTCCCAGGACCATGTGGCAGCCATGTGGCATCGCTCTGGGGCATGCATGGGGTCCCCCCGAGATGCGTCTCCTCCCTTCCGTTGCTGTCAGCATCTGTCTTGCAGGGGTGTTGCAGTGTGTAGGGGAGCTCTGTGCCCACAACAAGCCATCAGCAAAGCTCTCGTGGTCTAACATGCCCATGGTGGCACTTGGGTGTCATACAGAGAGCTGGGAAGGAGGAGGACTAACGGCCAAAACTTGCGGGGTTTGGTGTTGGGGTCTCTCCCCAGGGCAGAAAGCAGAGGGCAGTGCCGGGGAGCCCGCTGTGTCTGACCTCGACATGGGACAGGGCTAAAACTATGCCTTCTGCTCCATTTTCCCTGAAAACTCCTCTCCTCCTGCGAGTCCTACAGCAGAACGCCACGTTCTGCAAGATGCAGGGAAACTCCTGTGGCCAAAGTCCCCGCTAATCCCAGTGCTGCTGGTCACCTGCTTTGTGTGTGCTGGTGCAGCGAGCTTTGCAAGTGGCTGTGGCTCTGCACGGAACTCCGTCAGTTGCTGCAGCCCGAGGAAATCCCCTCCCGACACACCTCCACCTTGTTTTCTGTCCCGCCAGTTGTGCCCATGAATGTCAGCTGCACCCGCACGGACTTCCACATCCAGATCCCTGTGCAGTCCCTGGCCCAGCTGGAGAGGAACAGGATTTATCTGGGGTCCCCCTCCTGTGTGGCCCAGGTGGTCGGCGGGAACTTTAAAATACACACCAGGTTCGACACCTGCAGCACCGAATCCCAGGTAAGCACCTGGCAAACCTGCCTTTAGAGCAGGCTGAGGAGATGGTTAGCCCCGTGCTGGTCATACTGGCTGCAGAGAGGGATTCCCAGTCCCCCTCCCATCTTCCCAGTAGATGCTGGTCTGATTTGTGGCCAGCTGCCCTGCAAACCCCCATGAAAACGAGCTGCACAAAGCCCTGACGAGCCCCAACCCTTGTCTTGCAGAAACGCAACAACACCTCCGTCATCGTCAGCACCCTCTACATCGATTTTTCAGTGGGTGACCGGGAGGACATCCACCAGTACGAGGTGCAGTGTGAGCCGAAGAGGAAGGAAGCCTCGGTCACCCTCATTGCCGGACCCAACCCATCCAGGCTCAGCCAGGCAGAAAACCTGGTGGATGCCCAGCAGCGGGAGGGGGGAGCGGCGGATACCCGGGAAATTAAGAGCCAGGACACCAGCGACATCGTCTTCATCAGCATCTGCATTCTGGCTGGGCTCCTCATGGTCGTGGCAGTGGTGGGGCTTGTGCTTCTGTAGGATGCCACTCCCCACACCCCAAAACCCACCCTCACGCCAGGTTGGGCACTAAAACAGCTGCTCACACAGAGACACAGCTCCCAGGCCCCGAAACAGAGCCTGAACCCAACCTCCACCTCCTCCCAGCGCTCTTCATCAGCATCTGCATTCTGGCTGGGCTCCTCATGGTCGTGGCAGTGGTGGGGCTTGTGCTTCTGTAGGATGCCACTCCCCACACCCCAAAACCCACCCTCACGCCAGGTTGGGCACTAAAACAGCTGCTCACACAGAGACACAGCTCCCAGGCCCCGAAACAGAGCCTGAACCCAACCTCCACCTCCTCCCAGCGCCTGAAAAATCTGGGTGACAGGCAGCCGTTTCCCTTCCCAATTTGTTTTCCTCTGTCTCAATCTGTCCATTTGGCTGGGGAATGCAATTCTTGCACTTCCTAACTCTTCCTGCACCTGCTTCAATTTGTTTTCCCTCTGGTGCTGCTGCTTTCGGGGAAGTAACGTTGTTTGCTGATGGCTGCAAATCATCCTGTCAATTATTTCTAGCTGAATCCTTCAAAGTACAAACCATCCCCAAATATAGCAATATTCACAACAAATATTTTCCCTGCTCGTGCTCAGGGGAGTACTGCAGAGCTGTGTTATAGGTATCTCTGCTTGGCACGTATAGATGCAGCTCGTGTAGGTGCTTCCAGGCGGTGTTTCTGGATGTCTGGGGGTGATGTGATGAGATGCGTTCGCCGGGTGCCCCAGAGCTCCTCGTTTGATCTTCGCATGTCGTCTCACCCACCCATTGCTTGCAGGACTCACCTGAGTGCTTCAGCTGGAGGGAAGGAGAATGATCTCTCTTCTTCTCTGGGTTTTTCTCCTTTCCAGCATGCCCAGGTGTGAGCTCTGCACTGCCATCGCTCCTAGAATCTGAAACTGTGGGCACAGAGGTTTCGGTAAATTTTTAAAGATGGGCTCGGTCGGAGGGGCTGGCTCCCCTGGGACTGACACGGATTTTTCTGCCAACCTCAGGGACACCAGACCTCCAGCCTTGGTCCTTGCAGAAGGTGAGCTCAGCAGCTCAGAGCACAGAAACAGGAGTCCTGTGGTCCTCCTGTGCACCTCCAGAAAACTTGGGTTCCTCCCCAAGATGCTCCTGACTCCTGGATGGCCACGTAACCCCCGCGTGCCGCTCGTGCCGTACCAACACACAGGAAACTTTCTTCCAGCATCACCTGGGGACTGGCTATCGCAGAGCAGCCCGTGTTTCTCCAGGCGTGGGCTAAAGCCAGTGTAACGTGAAATCTTGCTGCAGAAGCAGGGTGAGTGCAGCCCTGGGAGCCTGGCGTAGGGGCCACCCCCCACCCCATCCTGTGTGAAACTCAATGTGGTGCTGTGAGAGATCTTAAAATATCCAGATGTGGTCATTCAAGGGGAAAACATTGAAGCTGAGGGCAGTGGGAAATCCAGACGCCCTTTTTCTGGTAGCGCTGCCTCCCAAGGGGAATCCATTCTAAGGAGGGTCCTGGCTCTTCCCGCGGCAGCGGCATACGGCACAGCAGACCCCTCCTGCTGCTGAATCCACTGTGGGGTCATTAGCAGGGGCTGGCAGGACAGTCCTGATGGTGAAGGGCTTTCCTGACTGATGTCCTGATTCCCATGCCCACTGGGACAGCTTTGTACCTGCTGCTGAGCATCAGGGGGAGCAGCGGTAAAGGACAAAGATGGTGATGGAGCGGCTTTTCCTCCTGGTTTGTTCCATCCTGTGGATGCCTGAGAGTGGCAGGGGAGGGAATCAGGCACGTATCCGTGCATGCCTCCCAACGAGGAGCCTGCATTAGCAGAGCCCACATTGATTTGGCGTTTGTTGGCGCAACACGTTGGCAAACGCGAGATTTCCGAGTTAAATATTTGCCAGGGCTGTTAAGCTCCATTAAGGCCACATTTTGCGAGCCTGTTGCGTACGTAGATGGGAAACAAGGCCAGAACCCCCTGCTGCCCGCAGAGCCTTGCTGCAGGTTAATTGCTAGGTATAGAACTGTCAGCTTGAGATGATAGTTACAACATTTGACAACTGAAGAAACTTAAAGATATAATTAACCTTCCTGGCAGCCCAGCTTTTGCTGAAACAGGTGGAGGCTGCGGCCGCTCGTGCCTGGCAGGGAGCCGGCGGCAACCCGCCCCCCCAGCCCCTCACCCGCGGGACGGACACCTCCTCCCTCGTCTGGAGCCTCTGACACCTTGAGATTTACAGGGAAAAAAGGCTTTTCTGGGTAGCTGTAGGGCACATCATGAGGACAGGGGTAACACTTGAGTTTGGGGCCCCGACCATCCTCCTGGTTTGATGTCCAGGACATGGGAGCACCACCTCTCCCCAGTTCATGCAGGATTGGTTTCCATCCAAAACGGCAACAGCCAAGTGCCTCACGACGTGCCTGCGCCTTTGCAAAGCCCCCCAGACCCGGTGAGAACCTCCTCCGGATTTCCAGCCCAAAGCTTGTTTGTCCCACTTGCCCCTGCACCCCCTGCTCCCCACATCACCTGAGAGGTTCCCCAGTTCCTTCCCCACACTGTGTCCCCCCCCTCAGCACCCTGTTCCCTGGTGGCAGCCCAGGAGCGGGATGCTGCTGGCTGAGACACGGTCCCCGAGCGGGACAGCCCCAGCATCCCACACCCCTGCACAGAAAGACCTGGCAGCACGGATGGTGTGTCCCCATCCCTGTCCCCATCCCACCCGGGACAAAAGAAAAGCCCCTTGTAGCCGTCACCCTCCCGGCCTCAGCTGACCTGTCCCCATCAATGGGGCTCTGTGCACGGGGTGTGCTGTGCTCGGTCGGCTCCCAAGCGTGACGGTTGTACACCGGGCTGTCCCGGAGCTGTCCCTTGCATTCCCACGGCCCGGCCAGCCCCTGCCTGCAGCCAGCTGTGACAGGGACACCCAGCACGGAGCCAGGCTCCGGGTGGCTCCAGCTGATTTGTCACTGTGCTAAGCGATGCAAAACCAGCTGGAGCTGCAGAGAGAGCAAACGGAAAGGGGCCAGGAGGAGAAAGGAGAGGTGTAACCGGGGGCTGGAGCTGTTATGGATTTGCAAATTAATTGTCATAACAAATCTGTGTTCATCTGATCTCCTCCATGCAACCAAAGTTCCCCAGAAGTGGACCAAGTGATGTCTCTGTGGCCCGGAGGGTTTCCCTGCCACGCCATGGACCGCAGCAGGGGTGGCACCCACAGCGGTGCTCCTGCAGCAAGCACAACCGTCCTCCGGCCTCGTCCCCATGGGAAGACCCCAGCAGCACCAGGGGTCGCATGGGGACAGCTGGGAGCAGAGAAGGTCCCTGAAGAGTGGGTGCAAAGTCCCCAGGCTGGGCACTGCCCCAGCCAGGGAAGGGGACAGTGCAAGCCCACAGCCCGGAGAGAGGGACTGCCTAGGTCATTTTGTGAAACAAACCCTTTTTCTCATGTAAAACCTGCCCGGGTGACTTGCAGATACCAGGAATCCATCACCAGGGCTCTTTCCCCCCTCAACATGCCCACAGTCCATCATGCATCGTGCCTCAGTTTCCTTCCATAGCATTGCCCGGAGCAGGCAGGGAGAGCAGCAGGCGTAGGCAGCACTCCTGCTCCTCAGCTGATTATTTATTTAGAGCCTGACGATTTGATTGCGGCAGGCTGAACGCAGCCACCCCATTTCCTTGCTTTGCTTACGGACGTGGAGTTGCGTCCCTGCGGAGCAGACAAAGGCTTTGCTGTTGCGCGCAAGTGAGAGCCTCCGGTATCTCTCTGCAAATGCCTGCATGCAAATCTGATGAAGAACAATTGCTGAAGATCGTCGATCATAGAAAACAGGACTGGAGGAGCCCCCAGGAGATTGGCTGGTTTATTCCTCTCCTTCCCTGGGGGAATTGCTTCTACCGGAGAGAAGCTGGGCTAAAATATCCTAAAAATCCCAGCCATGCTCTCTGTGTTTTCTCTATTTAGCGGAAAGGTTTTCCTGGTGTGTCACACTGGTGGGATGTGCCGATGGGGGATGTGCTGCTGGGCGCTGGGCTCTCGTATTGGTGTGTTGGGCAAGCGTGATGGTGGTGGAACTACCCCAAAATGGGCACTGCTGCCTGTGCCAGACCCTGCTCCCCCTGCCCAGAGCCCTGAGGGCGATGGAGAATCCCGCTGGGGCATCCAGCAAGCACATGGTGTTGTGATCCTCAGTGCAAGGGTCTGGCAGCCTTGGAAAATCCCACCTGCATCTGGAGCAAGCCCTGCAGGTGCAGGTGGTCATGGCTGAGGGCTCTGCTGAGGATGCAAATGGGACACAGCTGTGCCCAGGCTGGCACAGAGTCTCTCTGATGTCCCTAAAGCTGTGGGCAGTCAGGCAGGACCCTATGGGGTTGGGAAGGAGAATGGTGTGGGCAGGGTGCCAGCTTGGCATCATTGCCATCCAGTCCCCTGCAGCCACCTGGCATGATGGAGGTGAGAGGCTGAGCAGCATCACATCTGGGTGAGCTCTGGGGATGGCTTGGGGCTGGGTCTGGGGATGGCTTGGGGCTGGGTGATCCCTTGGTGGCTGTGCCGGAGCCTTCCAGGGACACTGGGGCTGTCCCTGCAGTGTGGGGCAGAGCTTGGGGCTCTCTGGTTGCTTGGGCAGGGCTGCACACAGTGTGGGGCTGCTGGCATGGGGAGAGGGGTGGGGCCCCTGGGAGTGGGTGCTTGGCTTTTTGCAGAAACCAGCAGATGGATTCTGTGGATCAGGGGCTGCAAACACAGCCCTGGGGGTCATCGTGCAGGAGCTGGCTGTTTCAGGGGCTTCTCCTTTCTGAAGCAATGCTGTGGCAGGTAGCTTGGGTCCCTCTCCTTCCAGGAATGCTTTATAGATGTCAGGTTTCCATGCTTGGAAAAAGCAAAGGATGTCCTGATGCTTTCTTAAGCAGAAGCATTGCATGCTCTGCTAGCTTGAGATTTATGTGTCCTGGGGGTGCAGTGAGGTTCTGCTGACTCACACCCTTCTCTTAAAATGAAAATAAAAT